TTTGTAAATTCTCATTCTCTAAGAGCTATAGAATCTCAACGGGGGCTCATAAACTAAATGAATTTGATTTAATTCAGTTTTATAATTCTATCTACAAATATTTCTTGAGTGCCTACAAGGTGTAAGTCCTCAAGAATATGTACTCAACAATTACCAGATGAAAGCACCAAGGTCCTGCTGGCCCAGACCAGAGCCCCAGAGCATGTCCTCAGACACTGCTCTATTCTCTCACTATTTAAGGGACTCCCAGCATTTAAGTATAAAGGGACTCCAGTTTGCAGGGTCTTCAGCCAACAAGGCCCAAAACCTCGAGGGAGCTGATGAGTTTTCATGCAAACCCGGGAGACATGGCAAAGGATCCATTGCATTAGATTTAGAGGACCCTGGAAAGACTGGCTGTCTGCACACCGTGTCTGTGCTGAGACCCCAAGCACACATGCTTTCCTCATATGGACATATGTATTTTTAGGTTTGCTAGGTTATTGATTTTAACAGTATGATAAAAGATTACCAAACATTTTCAACAAATGACCTCCAAGTATTTCCCTATTTCCTGCCACCAAAAACAAACAAACCAGTAATAAATTTTGAAAAGAAATTATAAAGTTTGTGGAAAAAGGGACTGGCTCCAAGCACTGTTTATGCACTGGAGAGAAATAGCTAATCAAGAGGTTCAGAGGCACGAAGATGCAAGCAACATAAATACCATCATCACGTCCTTTCCTGCAAAGTTTGCCATCCTTCCACCCAAATATTATTAATATTTCCACTTTGGAGAAAAATACATTAATACATAGTAAGTGTTACCATTCTCCATTAAAATTTTTAAGTGTCTCTTTCTTTAACAGGAAGATATGATTGCTAAAAGAAGGGCTGAACTTATGTCAGAGAGAGAGAAAAAAAGGAAAGGGGAGGTAAGTACATAAATTTTTTTTAAAAAGCATTATATATACATTTTTATATATATAGTGATCTCAACAGTGTAAAATAAAAAGATGTGTTTAAAAAATCTTAAAGGAAATATGCAGTTTGTGATTGGTGAGATTAGTTATTTTTATTTTCTTTCTACTTTTTGGTATTTCTTAACTGTTTATAATGACCTTTTATTATTTTTATAATCAGAAGAATGACCACTTTTTAAAGAAAAGAAGACCACTAAAGGTGTTTAAATAATCTACTGTAAAATATACTACTGCATTGAACTGTGCTTCTCTGGGATCCTCGTCTTTGCTTTTCACACTTCCAGCCAATGCCACAGGGAGACAGGCTGGGAGCTTGGGGGAGGCTAGACAGAGCCTGTGAAGTTGTGCTGGAATTAAAACACTGATTCACTCAGGACAAGGAATGGAATGGGGCAGAGCCTGTGAACCTCATCAGGTCCCTACCCTGAATGCAGCTCCTTCTCGCCATCTGCTGATAAACTTTGCAGATCATGGATTTTGTTTTATTTAGAAAAGAGCTATTCCCGAGCAGACCTAACCGACACGAGTGCTACAGCCAAGCAACTCAAGGGTGCAGAAGTTGAAGAGGATGTGTCACTAGACAAGTTGTTCTATAAAGAACCTGAGGCTCATATTTACACAGTCATCCTCGTAACCGAGGCAAATGATAGGATAGCCCCTGCCTTCTTCCTTTCCCTTCTGGTTTAAGACACCTTTGTAGCATCTTTTCAAGGCTGACCCTCCTGTAATCTGATTTCCACCTGCATAAAAATGCCCAGCCAAACAATGGGAAGAAAAAAAGAGGAATACAGAAAACGGAACTAGCTGCAAGTGTAACCACACATCGCCCTGGTGTGGATATGTTGGACGTCTGCACAGAGGACTGCTGATGCAACGCAGCTGTGACCGTGGGCACAAAGCATTGCAGAAGAGAGGCCGAAGCAATTGTTGCTTTATCAAAACAAAAGATTTACAACCAAAAGTAGATCTAAAATCATTAGACTGAGAAAGTTATAACACCATCTAAGAATAAGAACCCTCTTCATTATTTGCCTTGGTCTTTATTCATTCAGTCAGTCCATCAGCAAACATTAATTAAGACTTGTGACTGACACTGTCTCAGATACTGGCAAATCAGCCACCAACAAAATTTACAGACATCTCCGTCCTCATTCTAAGGCTCATTCCCTCATCAAACATGTTCTGAAAATTTACTCTGTTCAAGGTGTCATGCTAATGTTTAGGATCAAAGAGACAGACATCCTAACCTGGACTCAAGTACAGTTAACTACTCTAAACCCTTGAGAATCCCTAGTGGTTCCCTTCTAAGGCACTTCGAATGCCTCAGCAACAAAAGAGTCCAGGTTTGGGGGATAAGCAGACCTAAACTGGTGTCCTCTGTCCAGTGTTCATTGACTCAGTTCACTGCTGGCTCTCCAGTGCCTAGCGGAGAGCTGACACAGGCAGACACTCAACTTAGAGTTGTTGTATTGAGGTTGTGTAACGTTGAGCAAGTTTCTTAGCCTCTATGAGCCTAGGTTTTTCATGTAGAATGGGAAAAATCAATAATAGTTTTCCTGATTAATAATATTTTAATTCTCTTCCCTTTGCTA